AAAAAAAAAAAAATGGATTGCGTGTTTAGGCAAATAAATAACACTTTCATTACTTAATTTTTACATACAAAATATATTCTGTATTTGTTTCTCGGAAATAAAAAAAGGGAAGCATTCTTTCCTTCACATCATCCTAAATACGTACAGTAGACTGCCAGTTAACTGTCGTCTAGGAGATCGAACATTAAGGCATAGAAAGAAGCATCATAAATAGATTTTTAGCTTATAAACCATATTAGAAAAAATATATATACTGAACGTTGTATGTAAACATTAATTTTAATTAAAAAGGTATCAATAGTTTTTCTTAATATTTTGTTTTAATTCTTGTTTTGAAACAACTTCATGCTATGTTTTTGTAAAATGATATGAATTGTTTTTCTGTTCGATATATCTGATTGTTTGTTTCGGTAATTAACATATTCTGTTTCAGCTTCAAGATCATCATTTCAAATAATCGTAATATTCATACTAACATGACATGGCTGCTATGCAAAATCTATAATTAATAACACTTGATGTAGCTCACTACATTTTTCTCTTCGCAATGAAAATTTGTTTCACGGAGCTGCGGGATCTTTTTAGAAGGTTGAGCTGTTAAAAGAGATCGGTTAAGAGGGCCTTATTTGTATTTTGTACAGAAAGAGTAGGATATTTTTTAATATCTGGATTGTCTGCGGTTTCAGTTGGTCCGGATATTTTAGATTCTGCTGTATTATACAAAAATTTCTTTTAGTAGTTGTTCTGTTAGTAATAGTTCGCATTTTACATCATTTTAAATGCTTGCTTACTTGTATCTTCGTTAGCGTTGTTCCAGGAGGAGCGTCCTCCGGCAGCGTGACGTTGTATACATCATGCGAGAACTGAGGGATGTTATCGTTGGCGTCGAGCAATTTAACCCGTATCTCAGCCGTTGCAGACAGTGGTCTGACAGAAGCTGTTTCTCTGGCTACAATCTATATTTAAAAAAGGAAATTAGTAGCATATTAAATACATAAACATAATTACACTATAACTCACAGTCTTTGTTCATCAGATGTCTAAAACCTAAGTTACCTAAATATCTAGACAAATTATGCCTAAATACAAGAGTAAAATATTTACAAATAAACTATATAATAGTAACTGAACCTCTCTGGGGGACCGCAGCTTGGGGTTATACTTTAAACAGGTATGGACAACACAGAATTTGAAGGTGCGCTGATTTGCAAACTACAAAACCAATTTCTATCTAATAAAATGAAATTTATCCTTCAATACAAGTTATAACAGTCAATATCGACTAGAAACTTAGGAATGACTTTCCCAACAGCGACGAACACTAAATAGTAACAAATCTTGCTAGGATTTACCATTGTTTAACAATTAAGAAACCGCTGTACTTAAACGCACTTTCACGCAAATGAGATTTGAAAAAAACTTCTGAAATGGATGAACTATTTCTTAAGAAAAATAAAAAACTAAACTTTAGCTAATAAAACTTAGCTATGACATTACAGGATGTCTGAAAAGCAATGGTTGGGTTCTTTATCAGTTGCAGAATTTATGAATTATTTAGACACGCATTACCGACAGCTGAGTAGCCGATTAATTCACTAGTACAGTAAGCATATCAGCCAAATAGTCTCGCTAACAGAGCTATCTTTGTTTCAAAATTTCTTGAATTTCAAGCTTTCCTAGGCTATCTTTTGACAAGAAGCAATTAAAGGGATGTGTTACAGCTCGTTTCAAAACTCAGAGTTCGTAGGGGGAAGACAATGAGTGATGTATGGTAAATGCTAAAATAATTTTATTTCGTGATATCAAGATAGTGTAAGAAACACGAGTTCGTATGTATGACTAGTTTCGAGGAGAAATGCGGCTGCTTAAATCTAAGTGGTCACTCAAAGATTGACCACTTAAATCTAAGTAATTAATCTAGGTGGACTACTCAAAAGCATTCGTAAAGAATTAAATTTAAAAAATAACTAACTATTAAAGACTTAAAGCAGAACAAATAACTTTTTGTAAAAAATAGCTCTTCTATTTCTGTCTTGCAAATAATAAATATTTTGTTAATTAAGTTATTAGTGACAAGGAATTTAAATATTTTAACTTAGTTTTAAATGTGTTTTAATTATTTGAACTCTAATGAGTTGTCAACCGATGTCTCAGTTGCGACGATAATTCGTCGCAACTGAGACATCGAACAACTCATTGCCGAAAGTCATACACTTATTCATGGATGATAATTCTGAAACACGAAATATTCTATATCTTGAATTTATGGTAACTGATTTCTAAGCAATGGGCCAGTCGTAGCTTAAAACTGTTTTACGTGATAAACTGGGACCTGAATACGAAGATCAGATGGCCAGTTGTTTTCCGTATTGAAAGTGATGCTCACCCGGAACTCGATATACTTGGTGTCGGATGTCTCGTAGTCCAGCTGAAGCGGATCTTTAACCAAAACAGCAAAATTTAACTCATTCATGCCTCGTCCTGGCTGAACGCTGAAGGCACCTCCGTCGCCTTCTAGAAAAAGCTCGAAACTGCCATTCTTTCCCTGATGAAAAAAAAAAAAAAAAAGACACACGCTAGCATATACTTTATAGTAGAAGAGTGAGATAAAATGAACGTAATGTAATACAAACAACATTTCAACTGAGCAATTAAAAAAAATATTTAGGAAAACACACGCAAAATAAAAATAGAAATTTTCATTGCGTAAAATTTTGAAAGTAATAAAAATATTACGGGATCTCCCTTACACTGGTAATAATATGTTATGATCTCTCTTCCATTAAAATGTGTAATATTTAGATAGATTTCAAAAGGTACAGATTTTTTTTAAAAATATTGCTCTATTAAATACCACTGGAATCCCTGGACATATACTAATATTGAAATAGCAGTATAGAAAGAAAGAAGAGAAGAATAAGAATAAATCCAATGGCATATAGGTCCTCTAACTATAACAGTATTGTTAACTTGATATCTTATAGAAAAAAATTTGATGTGGGCACCATATGATTTCCTTGTACAATTTTCATTAAACATTGTAAAATATAGAAAAGCCTAAAACACCAAATACAGTTAAAAACAGTTAAAAATTATTTTTACAATTAAAATTAGAGTATCTGCGAAAAAAAAAAATGCAATTCGGCCAGCGCGCAGGAAGACAAAATTTTCGGTACATAAAACTGAAAGTTTACATTTAATCACACTCAGCAAAAAGACACAAGTTGGTGCACAAACTGACTTAATTCCCTCTTACACTATAAATTTCAAATGTAAGCAAATGACGGCCTCGTTAGGCTTAGAACCACTTAAACAACTTTTAAATTGTTGATAATTCTACAACTATTACATGCAGATAATTTAAAGCATAAAAACCGTAACCAGAACATAAAGGAACATAATTCAATCACTTTGAAAGCAAAAAATGGACAATTTACTAACATATAACAATAAAAAATATGAGCTCACCGAGCCGGATTATATAGTGGGTTATATATACATACATATATATATATATATACATATAGTTATTATTTACACCTTAATGTGTTTCTTCAAGCGTACGCGTCGGGAAATTGGAACAGAGAATTGAGACTAAAGTTTACGGCGAAGTTTTTTCAATTAATTTAGAAAAAGTGTTTCTGTTTCGGCGAAACGCGATATGGAGTTAGCTGAATTCAAAATCATTAAAAATAATTTTCCCTGAAGAGCCTTAATGAGATTTGAATTGGGCTAATCTACCATTTACCGCTCCTTTGTTTTTGTATTTTTGCTTAAGTCATTAGTTGCACTTTAATTCTAAAGTTTGAAATATGCCTTACTTTGATCAGCATATTGCTTACAATTAGTAATGAATTTTATTTGTAAATATTCAAGTGTTTATATTGTTTATTTAATCTTTATTACGCCTTTCATTGCACTTTATTTTACTTATGTTAATATTTTCACGAAACCACGGTATCTGAGCAACTTTTTAGCGTACTAACTAGGAATTGTCTTTTAACTTTTTTCTAAATTTTGCAGCTCAATGCGCAAAGTTTTTGACCACGTAGGTCTTTTATCGTTTGTTCTCTTTTCTTTAATCATATATATATATTATTATATATTTCAAAGTTCTTAAGCTACTCGTTTTAGAGTTATGCGATATACATACATTCGTATATATGTACACGTACAAACATCAGAAAAAAAAAATAAAAAAAAAAAAAAAAAAAAAAAAAAAAAAACTCTTTTGAATCCATTTTACTATTCCTTTTGGATAAACGAGTCTTTTATTCCGTTCTTTCGAAAACTTTATCTTTTATACCAGCTGTGGACAGCTTCAAAATTACAGTTAACACTATCTTAGGTTTGAAACGAACAAGGCATTTTCAGGTAGTCTGACAATGAAAAACAAATGTCTCGCTGACTCCAGTAGTTTGTAGAAAAATGTGAGTTTACTATATTACTTGAAAGATGTCAACTATATAGGTATTGTCACAATCTGAAAATAAATTTTATTCAGTTCACATTTTAAATTTTCCGATCATGGCCGAATGGTTAATATTAAAAAGCACCGATCGTTTGTTCCGGCGAATAAGCTATAAAGTTCGATTTCCGGTGATTTTCAGTTTTCCCATGTTTATCCCTATACGCATGTAGTTGCTATTTGGCAATATACTTAAATCAAATCAAAACACAAATTTCAGCTTACTGCATAGTGTAACCAATTGGATACATACTGACGTATATAGTACTGAAGTTTCAGTGTAACACTTAACGGTCATTATTGGAGTTGATGTGTAGGGTGTGGACGTCTTTTGCTTTTACGAATTTTTTATTTTGTGTTTGTTGTTATTTTGATGTATTCAAAGTTTTAAAATTGTTTAAACAAGTTGATAAGGTATGTATTGTTGTTACATAAAATTTTTGTTACAAATTTGCCTATCATATTTTTTTCGCATAATTTGGCAACAATAATATATTTTCAAAAATTAGAATAAAAACTCAGTTTAGATTTCTTTTTATTTTATTACTTTTCCATTTTTATTTGATATCAATTATAACGTACTTTTTGACTTATATTAAAAGAATAAAATAAAACAAATCATGCATTTAAGGGTGAAAGGATTATGTTAATTTTATTAACAGTTAAATTTTGAGTTAAAGTTCCTTTCCTGTCGATTCTTAACTTCAACTTCTGGGCAGAACGTAGTTTTAGAATCATTTCTGAATACATAATGAGGAAGAGCGGTATTAACCGCGAAGTTCTTCGGTCTTAGTGAGAGAGATACCAGGTATTCTGGCTGCACGCGTCCGCCTCTTTTTAGGCTACTCTCTCGTAAGCTATTAACACGCTCGGCCGTACTTTAGGCCCTTGAAAGCTTCGCAGTCTGTTAATGTTAAGGGGCCAACTCGGTTAGAATTTTTATAGCTTTGGTTATACCTCTTTAGTTTAGATTAGTTTAGTATTATTCTTAGTCTCTTAAGTTCAATGCCCAAGTGTCGGCTTTATTGTACACTCCAAGACAGAGTTTTGTTAAACCTTAGTTGGAATAATAAAGGACTAGTTTACACTTATATCTTCTTGTTTCTTGTCACACGAACTCAAGCGATTATTCGCTTATCAATTCTTCAGATTCTTCACTTCCAACAGTAACTTAGTATTACAAAGTGAGGAACTCTACAAGGGTTATAATCTGAATAGGGGATATTTCCTGTTTTACTAATATAAAGTAAACAATTTTTGGACTAAATGGGTATAGTATATATATTTGTCGCTGATATTTTATCCTGTGGAGTCATACAAAACTTTAGCTTTTATATATTCTTACTGACAGGTGTCAAATGACTGAAACTGTCTCAGTTATTTCTTTAATTTCATAAACCCTGTGTGGTTTACGACCTATCGATAAATAGATACTTAAAAACTTCATGAAACATAGGATATAACAACATTTACCGAAAAAACAATATTTTTAACTTATCAAGTTATCAGCACGAAACTGAATTTATTTATTTTTTCAAATAAAAGTGATTCAAATTACTTGATCGTCGTCGAAGACTTTGGGAATTTCAGGGCCTTCCCAAGTCACAGAAGTCAAACTGGGACTGTTTTCTTCCACCGTGGCCACGTATCGTTTGCTCGTAAACCTTGGAGGTCTGTTTTCTGTGTTGACCAACACAACGGCTAGCGTGGCTTCAGAACTCTCAGGAGGGCCAGGTATTAATTCTGTTTCTACTTCTGTAGCCTACAAGAAGGAAAAAAAATATTTTAAGAACACTTAAAAGAAATACGACGAAGGATCCAAAAGCTGCGTGGTCTGTTCTTTTGCTAAACGTACGATAAGTTGGTAAAACAAAAAAAGTGTATAAATCCTTAAACCATACGTTTTTGTGATTTTTCAAAGTAAAATATTAAACGCTTGAGACATTTCTTTCAATGTGACATCACCCTTAACATATTTTGTTCTTCAAACATCTGTTTTCTGGGCATACAACCACCTGCAGATAATCGACTAGATTACTTCAACCGAATTGAAGCGATGGTGAACCGCTTCAGTTTCTAGAAATCCATATCCCCTTCTAACAATGGTACAGTGGTTAAGACCACGAGCAACTCGACTCGATTTTGAATCCCCAGATTGGCTGCATGAGTGTTTTCGAGGCTTTCTCTGTGCGTAACATAAATGCGAGTGAAATTTCCGTAGGAAGTCCTACACTAAGATCTCCTTCTTATTAAGCAGTTAGCCTTCATGTGCTTTGTCAATTAACCTAATGTTCTGCTTAATAGTATATGAAGTAATCTAAGGACGGCTTCCTTGTTTGCTAGTCAAGTGCTCGTCTGTCAGATTCATAGGCATCCATATCCCTTTTCTTTGTAACACCAAATGGTCCAAAGCTGGCATTACTCTCTGCCCTTTCTGTTAGTCTGTCAAGTTCTTGGATATCCATGCCCTTCTTCTGCATGATTAATCAAATGGCCCTAGGATAATGATTTTTTGTTTCTTCTGCTAGCCTAGGTTCTAGGGCCTCTATGTCTGCATATTGCATTAAGTAGCATCATAATCTGCCAGTCAAGCTTATCTCTCATTTCCCTGGGCATTATCAGGACTTAGTATGCAAAACTGTAATTTCGCTGCATAGTTCGAAATATTGAATTTTTTTTTCTATTGTTTACAAACAGATCATAAGTCATTTCGAATTCTAAGCTTAGTGCGGCTGACTAACTGATGATGAAATGTTAAAAGTTGTGATATTCAAAATAGCGGCTACTAGCCACATGTATGTCTAAAACATTTCATGCTAAAATTCATAAATCATCGAGCTAGGAAGAAAAAAAACTTATTCTGTGTTCGTTGTTTACATTCCTTCTGATGTTATGCATCTTTTAGCAAGTTTATGGAGCTTTGAATCGGCACTGGTTACACTATTACAGTATACACTATTACTATTACAGTATATACGGCACAGGTTACTTAAGTCCCGAAATGCTCTTGAAATAATGCCTTAAGTTTACAATTCAATAAGATTACAATTTAGGCGACATAATATATTCTGCGAATGCATAGTTTCTAATAAGCCATTTCACAGTTCTATGTTCGAAGATATTCAAAACTGTCTTTATTAACCCATGATAACCAGCAATTAACGTTAACTATTTGAGTTTGTATTTAAGTGCAACGTCTGTCAAAACGGTTAACCTGATTATAAATGATAATATATAATTTAGTTGCGTAGCTGCGAAATGTTTGGTTTTACATAAAATGAAAAGAAATTAATTTTGGTCCGTATAAATATATATATGATATATCTAAATATCTAAGTCATTCTTTCTTTGTTTCGCAAACAATTCCTTTCATGTTAAATCTCATTAGCATATCAGGCTATGAGCGTATAAGCACATGAGAAAAGTCGGTCCTGTAATATCAAAAATATATTTCCTTAAAACTTATAAAGTTTCGCCATTGCAGAATATCAAAGATCTGGCAGCACAGATTTGTCTCCAAGGCTTAACAGACATTTTCGGCTGTCCTTAAGTTGTTCTTATAATTCTGTTGTCAAGTTGTTCTTATAATTCTATTGTCAAATTGTTCTTATAATTCTATTGTCAAGTTGTTCTTATAATTTTATTGACATTCTATTCTGAGTACAGTTTGATGAAATAATAAAGTAATTACAAGTTTTAAAAAATAAAACAGACTTACACGTTCTACAAAGCACTAAAGCAATTATGGGTAAAATAAATGGTCGCAAATGAAAATTACACAAAATGTTCAAGAAATGGTATAAGGTATTTCTCCCACTTTCCTAGCGTGCCTTCGTGGTGTGGTGGTTCTTCACGCTGGGCCGGTATTCCAGAAGTCCGTGGTTCGATTCCCGGCGAAGGCGGTTGCTAATTTTTCAATTCTCCTGCTTCCAAAAATATACAATGTCTCTACAGTTGCGCCCGAACTAAAAGGGTGTTGGATGAGGTTTCTCCACATCCCAAGATTTGGCGACTGGGTCCCCTGAAAACCCCAGTCACCCTTTAAAAAGGTATTTCTCCCACTTTCCTAGCGTGCCTTCGTGGTGTAGTGGTTCTGTAGTAATCGTTGCCGGTATTCCAGAGGTCCGTGGTTCGATTCCCGGCGAAGGCGGCTGCTAATTTTTCAATTCTCCTGCTTCCAAAAATACACCTAATGTCTCTACATTGGATATAAAGTTTTAATAGAAAATGTCCCAAATAAAATAAACACATAACACCAAATATTCAGTGATATAAAAATGCATAACAATCAACTACAAACAGGTAAATACAAATGTTCTCATAAATTATAACAATATTCAGTCTTAAGTTAGGATCAAGGAAAACTAGAAAATACTGTAAGTAAAAAATACAACATTTGTTACCACTGAAAATTATCTGTTTTTTCATTTAAATTTTGTTTCAACTCAATTTTTTTTCTAGTATTTGACTTACATCTCTTACGAAAGAAGTACATACTGTGATCTCCAAAGAGTAAGAATTCAGAGTAGTACTTGCCTTTATAGATAACACAAAGGGTCCTGATGTAGAATAAGCTTCTCTTAGCAGTTCGATGGAAGAGGCGAGGGTTATCATACCTGTCCTTGAGTGGATATTGAAATATGTGACCCCTTGAGAACCTATAATTGAGAAAACTCATAGGTACACAGGCATGAATGCTGGAAGATATAATTTTTTTATGTTTCTAACTCATTTAATTTAGAAACTTATTTTTAAAATTATGACCTTTTTGGTATTTGTCCAGTAAATTACTTAAAAGTTTCGCTTTGCTAAGTTTAAACGTTTTTATATACTCACTGACCTGGCACAAAGCTGTAAGTGACATTTCTCTGATTTCCATAGTCACCGTCTTCAGCGGTTATTTTAGTAACATTAGCTCCCTAGCATAAAGAGAATAAAGTAAAATTATTCACGATAATACTTTAAAAAGAAACTCAGATTATCTTTTTATGAAATGATATTAATGCATCATTTAATTTTTAGTGTCCTTGCAAAAGCGAAATGATATATAGTATACATAAAAAATGCTATTTTTTAAATAAATACTTTAATAGGAAAGCTCGTATACCCAAGGCTATTAATGTTTCGATGAGTTAGAGCCATCAAGCACCGTAGTTTCCTTCCGAATTCGATTACATCAAAGGCTGAACTATCTCTATATGGCTGAGTTTACGATATTGCGCTGTGTAACATCTGTGTGCCGTGTAGTGGATTTAACGGAGTGTAACGGATTAATACTATACGATTTTCTTAAGAATAAAAGGATCAAAATAACTACAATTTAATGTAATTATTGATTTACTGCTAGACATTCTTCGATTTTTTTCTAAAGATATTTTCATACAATCAGGATTTTTCTAAACTGCTTCAACAAAATAAGAGAAGTAATCGTTCTCATCTAAACGAATAATATTTAACGCATAACGTGGGCCACATTCCACTCAGAGCATCACAAAAGCATAAAATTAAATGTTCAAGTTTAACTTTCAAACATGAAGAAATCGTAAGTTACTCAGTTCCATTAAGAGCAAACAGAAACTCAAAGCAGATGCTCAAAGTGCCCCCCAATAGTGTTGCTACACAGCTCCTACGATGCCGTGAATGAAAGACTGTCGCCTCTGTCGGGAACTCTTAATATCGAATTTATTTTAGCCGCTGCAACAATGATTCTTGTGATAAGATCTTTCACGTAGTTCACAAGTGTCTCGTATAACCATGGAAGCATGTCCCTTCAGAAGAAAGCCGGTGAAATTAGATCTGGTGAAGCCACAGGTCCACCAAGTCCAGTCCATCGTCTGTGCTACGTTGTATTCAGGAAGTGTCAGAGCGCAGTGGTTAAATAGGATGGGATCCACCCCACTGTGTGATGAGTAAAGCAGCTTGGTACAAATAATGGAAGCACTTGCTTCAAGAAATGAGCAGTAGCGCCAGTCAGACGTTTCGGCAACAAGTAAGGACCCAACAGACAATCAGCAAGGATATCTGCATACGATGTCACGGCAAATCTCTGCTATTTTTACGAGGGAGCAGTGATGTATTGAATGCTTTCAGGCAAATCGTCTGCGAGTATTAAAAATACCTGACAGGTAAAGAAGGCTTCATCACTAAAAACCTGTAAAGCAGAAGAATGTGGATAGTCATCTGGAGCATCTATTGCACAAATTTCAACTGCAGGGGCATTTCTTACATTGTCTATTGACCCGAATGAAAGATGTTCTTGTTTTAGAAACATCTTTAGGAAAGTCTTTGCAGAATTTTTGATATCTTGTGTTCGTTACTTTGCGTTGATCATCTACGATTCTTGGTAAATGTTGATGTATCAGAAAATATAAGTTATTTCATTTGCCTTCCACTCGGCCTTGCAAAAACGTATTTCTCATAATGTATAATGAAAGGTAAGATATTTGTTTTATTTTTTAAATTTAATTTTCATGGTCTGGTATTGCTTTAATTTTCATGGTCTTGAAACTTTTATAAATATTCACATATTATTGAAATAAACATTAGATATTTCTAACCCCATATAATTTCCTTTAAAATGCTCTTTTAAAACGCATATTAGTTCTCTATATGCAAAACCTATCGTCTAAAGATGATTCCATAATTTTTAAGATAATACGTTAACTTATTCCTTAATTCTTGTAGTAAACGAAATCATATTTACTTTTTATCTGCAAGTAGAATAGCGCAAGAAAAGAACAAAAAAAAGTTTTGTAAAGCCATCTTAGTAAAAAAAAAAAAAAAAAAAAAAAAAAACCGAACATTAATATGATGATACGCCAACACTTGAATACAAGCTCTACGAGAGCGTAAGAAACCTTTTTTTTTTTAAAAAAAAAAAAAAAAAAAGAAAAAAGAAACTTTTCAGGTGCCAGGGGCTTAAAATCTGAAACCTTTCAGATTTTTTTAATAATCATGTTAAAAAGGTGTATTTTGTTAAACATGACTATTGATTACACATCTTTATTCAGTTACAATATCATTGTTGGAAATCGTTATACGATTTATTTTTAACGCAAAAAGTAAATGATTGTCTTTTCAAAATTGGCAACGATAGTATAAATTCTGAAGATGTGACAGTCACTTATTTACCGTTATTTTTAGTATTATTCTGGTAGTTTCGACTATCATCTGGTTTGTAACTTGAATTATTCACTGAGGCGTAAATTCTAAAATTTTCGAAAGGTGAGCAATGTCATTCTGAAAAATGTAATACGTGGCCTTTGAGTACAATGCGCTGTTTTCTATTACAGAAAACGGAAATTTGATTGTTGGAATAAAATCTCAACGAAAGACCGATTATACCCATGTTTAAACGAGAATGCATCTTTCGGTATGACTGCTAACAAATGAGGACCGTTAATCTGTCGGCCTCTACAAAGTGTTCATTCTTCCCTCACCAGATGGCGAAACCTGTACTCATTTGATTCCAATACTGAAACCAACTTAAATGATAAATGCCTTCATAACATATAAAGGATTAAAAATGATTAATGAAAAAAAAAAAAAAAAAAAAAAAAAAAAACGTTATTACCTATTAAACTTGCAACGAACATTCCCCTTATTTGACACTGAATAAATGCATAGGTCAATTAAGTCTTAAATAATTAAATCTTTCATTTATTAAAGAAGCACATTAGCCACCACATTCTAATAATTTGTTAATGAAATATACTACATTTTTGATTAACCAGGGTAACCGATGACAACCTCAGATTGACTTAACGGTTAAACCAAAATCACGGTTAGTTCGACTGTACTTAAGAGAAAAAGTAAGAATAAGGAATATTTGTTATCGTATAACAACAGAAATATCGTATTAACAGAAAATACAATTAACAATTTTCTTATATTAAGATTGAAAAACAAATCTGTTCTATATTTCGATAAGCGTCAATGGGAAGCATAAGCGTAAAGGATGTACACTTAATTTATTTTACAATTGAAGCAATTTATTTTAAGGGATGATTAAACAATTTTTATACATTCCATTTTATGCACTATTAAACTACTTACTGTTGCGGATAAACAGATCTTAAATATTGTGACATAATTTGGCATCACTACAGCTGTGTTAGTTTTGCTCTATTCTAATGTTTTATGATCGTAACTTTTCGAATGTTCCATAATAAAATAATTAATTTTTTTTTTAGACAAGGCCGAATAAATCTGCAATCCGTTTAATCGGAAGTTGACTGTAAAACTGTAGCAAGTTTTATTCACCTTGTCATTTGACTGCTAATTTCAACAGCTGTTTTTAAATATATAACTTTACGCTCTGCGTTTTCAATTCCTGGCGGATTATTAATCTTTAAATAACGAATAGCAAATATTTAGCATAAAATTAATTTAGGCTTTAAAATGAAATCAGCGTACTAAGATCTATTTTAAGTCTTTTTAATGTTATGATTTTTATACGGTACTCGGCGGTTTTGGGGGCCGTACAAAATCGCCAAACTATTGTTGATGCCAGTGCTGCCAAAAATAATTGCGGCAACCATAACGCAAGAAAGGAAGTATAATAGTAAATAACTATTTAAGATTGTTGTTTTAATTTACATGAAATGTTAATTTCGTATAATACTTTTTATTATTATAATTTATATAAAATATGCTAAACATGACTGAATGGAAGCATAAGAGTAAATAACTATTTCAAGTCATTTTTATAATTTATATAAAAATTGCTAAACATAACTGAATGGCTGCCTGCATCGCTATTTCGCTATCGAGTTATCGCTAAAGCATAATTTCATCTCGTTGGTTGTTCAAACATAATTTTCTATAATGAATGATGCCTTTTCTATGAAAAAATTCTCGGTAAAGTGCAGAATCGCCAGTCTTCAGGCCTTTCTCGTAGTATGTATACATTCAAATTCCAAAATGCAAGAGATATTTACTTAGTATCGAGTGAAGATTTCTCTAGCACGTACAACACGTCTTTTCTATAATGTCCCTTTGAGACTGAATTGACATCCAAAATGCACTTTGAATTAAAATATGCATATTTTCTTCAGTTTCGCTTACGTCTTTTAATACTTGTCAAAAGTGCTGATTACAGATATTAGGATTAATTAGTACATTAAAAACTTTACCAGAGATAAGCTGTCCGAGACTCTGATGACAGGAGGCAACGGATGGAAGACAGGAGGGTTGTCTTGAGCATCCTCCACGGCTACCAGAATTGTCAGCACGGCGACATTTCTCGTATCTACTTCTTCGTCCGTCCAAGGATTCTACGGAGGTATACGGAAACGAATTCAGTTTTAGTTATGCATTTGTAAAAAATTTGAATGCATATTAAAAATCATAAGTCACTTAACGTACTTCAATAGGAATATAACCATACTTTAATTGCAGTGCCATGGCCTACCTAAACATGATTAAAGGATATTCCAAATAATTAACTTTCGAAGTAACGGAAATACATTGCGAAGGCCGCTGTACGTCACTGAGTAAATGCATCATCTGGGATCGTACAAAGCTTAATCGTAGTATTTAAAGCTACGGTTTCACTCATATAATCGAAATTCAAAATTTCATCAACATCAAGATGTTTCATGACGACGAATTTAATTTTCGAGTCAGGTTTAGTATTAACTGTTTATAATTAATTTTTTCCAGAACTTTTCGTTCTCTTAAAAATATAAGATGAGTCAATTGTCAATAAATTTAATCCTCTGAATACCAGCAATGAGTCCTAGCAATATTTAGAAGTTAGCGCATATGATTATGTATTGTTGTTATTTATTTCGCCTCAACACAGAAATTGGCACGTTTCATTATTTGCTACTGCAATTTAAATCAGCTTGCATTGCTTAAATTTTGAGAACAGTTAAATAAAAAATGCAAAAAAATGCCAATCACTGTGTAGGGATTTATACTTATTTTAAGTAACCAATTTTATTTAATTTTCTATTCTTTCCTATAAGCCTTCATTTCCCTAATTGTCAGTGCCAGAATATTTAAATTTTGCAGCGCGCGTAAAAGCAATTAGTAGAAAAGAGGTAAAATGAGTTTAGTAGGAAGAGAAGATTGTCTCCGCCCTCGCTGAAGGTTGCCCAGAGTTATGCGGTGCGGGTTATGCGTTTACTCCGCCACAGTTTCGACGGGGAAGAACGATTAGCGGGATTTGTGGAGGCGATAAGGAGCGCGCCTTGCGCCCTCCGATAAGTGTGGCAACCCTAGAGGAGAAGTTTCTTACGAGTAGCGAGCAGAGCGAAACAGGCAGGCTGTCGGGGAGTGTGCGCGAAGTTCCTAAATAAAGCTTAATTTTTATTGTGCACTATGTCTTGTTAATATTTATATTAATGCAGTAAGAACATAATCTGTGATATGGAATTCGAGGATTGGTGGTAAAAACATAACCGGAAATCACCATAATGGTAACCCGGACTGTGTTAAATCGTATGAACAGTTCTCAAGCACTTTCGGTTTTGACTACAAGCCATCACTCAAGATCTCCAAACCAGAAGTAATGGATTACATCGGTTTTCGTCCTCCGGATCACAGATGAGTAGTAATTATAGATCATTTTATAATTCTGTTTTCTACTTATCATTTAATTTCATTTTCTTTAGTTAAATTTTTGCTTTTATTTTGGCTTAAAAACCTTGCACAATGTCTGATGTTCATGCCGTCCAAATTCCGGTTTATAACCGATCAGACCCATCTTTATGGTTTATTATGTGTGAAAGTACCTTTGCTCTTGCCACCCCCAAACCTATCACAGAATCCATTACTAAATATAATTATGTAGTTTCTCATCTTCCTCCAGATATCGCATCACTAGTACGGGATTTACTTATGAAACCAGACCCTATTGATCCATATGCAAAGCTTAAAACTGAGTTAATAAATCGTTCAGGAGAATCTTCTCAGCAAGAAATTCGCCAATTATTATCTGGAGAAGAATTAGGTTCTCGAAAACCTTCCGATTTGCTTAGAAATATGAAACGTCGAGCAGAATCTTTAAATGTTCCTGATAACTTAATGTTAGAATTATTCCTTCAACGTTTGCCTTCGACTGTTCAGTCTATTTTGGCAGCGGTTTCCAATTTAACTGTAGATAAAGCTGCAGAAATTGCCGACAGAATTTTAGAAGTAAATCCAACCCCAGGGACTTGTGCCGTTTCTCGCACAGTCGATCAGTCTCTTGAGGATAAATTATTTAAACAAATAGAAAAATTAAACAAACGTATTGATCGCATTTCTCTTTCTCGTGGTCGCTCGCCAAATCGCGGAGATCGCAATAAGGAAAGAAGCAATTCCAAAAGGAGAGATTATTCTGTTTGCTGGTATCATAGACGTTTTGGGAAAAAGTGTAGAGATGACAAATGTACAAAACCTTGTTCATGGCAGGGAAACGAAACCAGCAAAGAATAGAGGCGACTTATTCTTTGCCTCAAGTTTCACGTCGCCTGTTCGTTCGTGACCGTAGAACAAACCTTTCATTCTTGGTCGATACCGGCTCTGACGTGTCCTTACTTCCAGCAAATAATTCTCAAAAACGGAATTCGTCCCAACAAACACTTTTCGCTGCTAATTCTTCTACTATTCATGTTTATGGTCAAAAAACACTTTCTTTGGATTTCAAATTAAGACGACAGTTTACATGGACTTTTCTTATAGCAAATGTTAGTACACCCATTCTTGGAGCAGATTTTCTCCATTTCTTTGAATTGGTGCCTGATCTCAGAAACAAATGTCTCAAAGATTTAAAAACGCATTTTAAAACCGTCGGTTGCGTGAAAAATGCAAGCATTTATTCAGTAAAAACTGTATTTAGTGATACACCATATCACAAAATTTTAAAAGAATTTCCTTCAGTTACTAGATTACCAGATCCTAACCAACCTGTTAAACACAACACCGTTCATTATATCATAACTAAAGGTCCACCTGTGGTTGCAAAACCTCGTCGGTTAGCTCCAGATCGCTTAAAAATAGCAAAACAAGAATTTCAAACTATGATGCAATTGGGGCATTTGAGACCTTCGAGCAGCAATTATGCATCCCCACTTCACATGGTTCCAAAAAAGGGAAGTCTGGAATGGAGACCTGTAGGAGATTATCGAGCATTGAACGCTCAAACAATAAAAGACAAATACCCTATTCCATGCTTAGCCGATTTTACTGCTGCATTGCACGGTACTAAAATTTTTAGTCATGTCGACCTGATTAAGGCATACCATCAAATACCAATTAACCCAGCCGACATCCACAAAACCGCCATATGCACACCATTCGGTTTATTCGAAAGTACCCGTATGCAATTCGGCTTATGCAATGCATCTGCGACTTTTCAACGTTTTATAGATGAAGTCACGCGGGATTTAGAAGGCGTTTACGCTTTTGTCGATGACTTGCTCATAGCCTCTAAAGATTCTGAGGAACATTGCAGGCATTTGAAAGCTTTATTTTCCAAACTTCAGGAATATGGACTTTGCATAAATGTTTCAAAATGCACCTTTGGTCAAACATCTATTGATTTCTTAGGTTTTCACCTTAGTGAAAACGGAATTGAACCTCTTCCTGACAAAGTCAAATGTATTTTAGATTTTCCTCAACCTACCACTCTCACTCAGCTTCGCCGATTTTTAGGCATGTTTAACTTTTATAGATGTTTCATACCTAAAGCAGCACATATTCTTTCTCCTTTAATAAAATTGTTAGAAGGCTATATTAATAAAAAGAAATCTCGTTCTCGTGTTCAGGATTCATCCCCACAATTAAATTGGAACGAGAATGCTGAACAAGCCTTTATTGCTGCCAAAAATGCCATTGCTCAGGCTACCCTTTTGAGACACCCTATTCCCGGAGCCCAGCTAAGCATCTGGGTAGATGCCTCAGACGTCGCAATCGGCGGCACACTTATGCAGTTGTCTCAACAAACATGGGAACCTATAGCATTTTTCTCTATGAAACTCAATAAAAGTCAACAGAAATGGTCCGCGTACGATAGGGAATTATTTTCTATTTATTCTGCAATTAAGAAATTCCGACACATGTTAGAGGGCAGAAATTTTATAATTTATACGGATCAAAAACCGTTAATATACGCTTTTAAACAGAACCCTCATAAATGTTCACCTCGACAATTGCGCCATTTAGATTTTATTTCTCAGTACTCTACTGATATTAGGCATGTGCAAGGTTCAAAAAACGTCGTTGCTGACGCTCTTTCAAGAATCGAAATTGATTCCATAACAAAATCTCCATTTTTGGATTTTAAAAAATTTTCGGAAGCTCAACGGCATGATCCGGAGGTACAAGACCTTCTCAAAAACAACACATCATCTTTGAAACTGGAATTTAAACCGTGCCAATATTCTGATGGTAATATTCTTTGTGACATATCAACAGACATTCCTCGTCCATTTGTTCCGAATTCCTTTCGCAGACTCATCTTTAATCATCTGCATAATCTGTCACATCCAGGAATTGCAGCTACTACGAAGCTTATTTGTTCTCGTTATGTATGGCCCGATATGAAACGTCATATCAAAAATTGGGTGAAATCCTGTGAATCTTGCCAAAAATCGAAAATTACTAGGCATACTAAAGCACCACTGGGCACATTCTCTCTTCCTGATGCACGTTTTTCAGAAATCCATATGGATATCGTCGGACCGTTACCTCCATCAGAAGGCAACGTGTACCTTTTGACTCTAATAGATAGATTCTCCAGATGGCCTGAAGCCATTCCCATCCCGGATATGAAAACGGAAACCATTTGCAGAGCCATCTTCAACTGTTGGATATCTCGTTTTGGCTGCCCATCGATCATAACAACAGACCAAGGTTCTCAAATGAGATCCGCACTTTTTGCAGAATTCACGCGCATTTTGGGTACGAACAGAATCACAACAACAGCCTATCATCCAATGTCCAACGGCATTGTTGAACGATTTCATCGACATTTAAAATCTTCTCTCAAGGCTCACGAGACCAATAACTGGACTGAAACACTACCAGTTGTTATGCTTGGTATTCGGACAGCCGTAAAGGAAGATCTACAGTCATCTTGTGCTGAACTGGTGTACGGCACAACTCTCAAGCTGCCTAGTGATATGATAACGTCATCTAAGATATCTCCGTATGACACACAATTTATCACGAATCTTCGGCATAGAATGCAACAACATTGAATCCAATAGCAACATCTGCACATTGCCAAGAAAAATGTTACGTAAGTGCTACCTTAAAGTCGTGTACGCATGTATACTTACGTGTCGATCGAGTAAAGCCACCTCTGTGCCAACCATATACAGGTCCGCATAAAGTCCTTTCTAGAACGGACAAAACTTTCACAATTGATGTTAACGGTCTGAAATCTACTGTGTCTATAGACCGTGTGAAACCAGCCTATTTGCTTTCGGACTCTAATTTGCCTGAACTGAAAACAAATAAAGACTTAAAGACAGTTCAGCAGAATAAATCTGCAAACGAACTCTCTAAGACACAAACTGTCACCAGATCGGGAAGACATGTTCACTTCCCTAAGAAACTTGCTTCTTACATAACAATTTAAAACACTTTTTTTTAAAATTCATATCTTAACATATTTCTTGTTATTTCATGTTTATTATATGTGTCAATACCTTGTTATATATTGAACTGCATTTTGATCTTTTCTAATTTTATATTCTAATTTTGTAATCATGTAAAAAAATACCCGACAGTACGGATACTCTGAGATAATTTCATAACCTATGTCGTTCCTTTGAATAGCCATTAAAGGAACTGGGGGGAAACTCTGTGGTGATGGCGATAAGGAGCGCGCCTTGCGCCCTCCGATGAGTGTGGCAACCCTAGAGGAGAAGTTTCTTACGAGTAGCGAGCAGAGCGAAACAGGCAGGCTGTCGGGGAGTGTGCGCGAAGTTCCTAAATAAAGCTTAATTTTTATTGTGCACTATGTCTTGTTAATATTTATATTAATGCAGTAAGAACATAATCTGTGATATGAATTGAGGATTGTGTCTCATTTACATCCAATTTTTTTCTTACATTTTAAAGAAGGCGTAGGTGTTAGCGTCGTGACGCTTTTAGAGAATAAAGGATACTAATTCTTCAAAGTTAACTCTGCCACTTTTCACACAAAAGTGAATCTGTTGGGCTCTACAACTGTTTTTATGTTACTACAGCAAATACTTTATTTGACTCTTTTCTTGTAATGATCTTAAAAAACATTGCTTCTTTTCAATTGGAAAAGAAATGCAGAGATGTAAAATTTAAAATTATGAAAACCTGTCTTAGTCTGGTGCAGAAACTCTAAATTAAATTCTTATTCAAAATATGTGTCTAATTATAATTGCTTTTTGCCTAATTTTAAACTGCTTTAATTGTACTCAAGTTAGTTTCTTGGAAAATATTAAAAAAAAAGAACGTTAAACCATTTTCAGCATATCACCATGCTCTTATTTGATGTTACAGTAAAATTTCTCTAAACGGAATCGATATATGTAAACTCTGTAGAATAGTTTTCTCTGCTTTGTTAATTAATGAAGAAATTTTTTTTTTTTTTTTTTTAAATCGTCGCTGTTGATACCATTTCGCGAGATAATTCCTGAAACTGGAAATCTGTGGACTGGAAGTAGTTAAAATTTTCTAGCTATTAACAAAAAACTTCTGATTGGAGATACTTGCCTTACGGTAACAAAGAAAAAAGATAGAGAAGATAAAGAAAAACTATTGTTACCAGAGCGTAGACATCGAGGGTGAAGAGATTCTTCTTCTCGTAGTCGAGTTTCTGCAGCAAGAAAATCTCTCCTTTGGTTGCCTCCCTAAGGGGGCTGATCAAGTAGCGTATGGCGAAGTTGTCCGATCCCTCCAACTCGAAGAGGACAGGTAGACTGCTGCTGTTCCTCTTCCTCACCACCACATTCCCTATGACCTCCTTCTCCTCCGTCAGCTGTAAGGAAGATTCATGTATTGGTCTGGAAAATCCAAAACGTATTATGTGCAATGAATTTACGTCTTGTACTACCCATAAAAATGTCTCGAATTATCTTTCTGTATCCAAATGTAATTCTGATATTCGAAATATTTTTAGAGTAATCCTCATACTTTTTTTAGACACTGATGTTACGCTATGCTACCTGGTATTAATAGCCCATGTGACTTGCTAAACATTATGATACCTTGAAACAAAACATCGTTAATTTATCTTCCAAGCTATCTTGCTATTACCAAATTTCTTAAGTGCTGCCATTCGCCAAAATTTAAGTTCTTTAATTTTTCTTCCAAAATTTAGTTAATTAGTACGAGATAAGACATTATAAGAGGTATTGTACCATATAATCAGTTTGAAACATCATGTTCTGCGTTTCAAAGATTTAAATAATTTAATGGAGCACTAATATGTCTTAAAAATTGAAATATTTTTAGCAGCTTCAAGAGTTTTAAAATCATTATGTCCCTGATATTTTGTTACGCTACAATTCGTTTAGAATCCAGATGATTTCGCAAGTGTATAGATTTGGTAGTTTTCAGCCTGTTGCCCTTTACCAGTGAGTAAAATATTTAATTCATCATTCGTCTTTAATCAGTCTGTAACTATTCATTTATCTTTCAGCTTATCAGTCTGTAACTAAAACTCACTGACTTAAAACAAAAAAAAATCACTTTTCTAATAATATAAATTTTATTGGGTAATATATGTAATAGCTATAATTTAAAATGTGTTTAATTTATAATATATATAACTGCTAAATTTTTGCAGCATTATTTAATTCTAAAAAATTATTTCTAACGCGATGTCACCTATGTCGGGATGGAAATGTTTATTTTTTCTGTTACCCTGAATACAGTATATTTTCTAGTATTATCCATCCTCCTCTGAAAAAAAAAGTTCAGAATATGATTTTTGCGGTATTCCCAGATTACCTGCATAAATAGCAGGTACACCTATAATTTCTGCGATATTTCAGCAGGTAATCTAGGAACACCGCAAAAATGATAGGTGTAAAATTCTGGGACATTTACATGCTGTTTTCTCAGTGATAAATTATGCATTTAATTCAGACTGTGGTCTGCCTCTAAGGAATCCTGGTTCTTGCTGGTAACTTGCCAGCATTTAGACATGTTTAGTACTAGAGTCCAAGGTTACTGTACTACAAGGCTTCGCTCTTACCGACCTAAAATGTTTGAGCGTATGAGATCACTCACTGACGGTCTGTTTCAAAGAAAAAACTCTTTGAAGGCACTGAATGTAATGATGTTTCCACTTCTGCTACTTCTGTCAAAGTCAATAACTTTACTGAATCCAAAAGATCATAACTCTGTTTGTCTACAGCTCTTGGTAGCGAAAAGCAAATATTCACGGATCTGAAGGACTTTAAGGACAGGCTTAGCTTGCATGATTGGTGCCACGTGAAAAGCGATATTACTGTTATTATTTTCTCCTAAGCTTTGGTTTATCTAATTACTTACCAATTAATATTTCTCTTATTACAGAAATGGTTTATCGAGGGCAATAAAATCGTCATGAAGGTTCTGCATCCAGTCACATTTGTGGGAATTTATGTAATTTACTTAATTTTATTTTGAAGCAACCTTTCCTATTGCTCTTTTCAACCCACGCTTTCTTTTCAGGATGAGATGTCAGTAATGCAAAGAACGGTAGAAAGATACTATTTAAGCTGAGGTCTCAATTACCTGACAAAGCGTGTTCTGCCTTCCGTCCATGTTGTTTCTGTGCTATTTAAACTTGCTCTTTTACTGCCGTGCATATTATTTGCCAGTTAATCTACGTCGGTTGGTAGGGCCAAGATCCAACTACGCGTTAAAATATCTCAGTGTAGCTTAGGCTGATTATTTGACTTGATTTTAATTTTACATTTCTGTTTTGAGTAGTCGCCAAAAGTATTGGCGTAGATTCGTAAGCACCAGGAGTGCTAGAATCTTAGATATTACCACCTTCTTTGCTTAAGAATATTGATAAGAATCATGTGTTTTGTTCCCCTCATAAATGTGACAAAACAGATTATTAGTCCAAAGGGGCAATTTGCCCTGAAGGACTTTTAATTTCGTTTGGCATTTTGCGTTGAAAACTATAAACGGCGAATCACTTTTTAACCTATCGCCACCAAATATTATCGCCCTGTATTATATTTAAAGAAATTGAATAATGGAGAATCTGCATGAATGTATGTATGTTTCTCGCAATGTAAGAAAACAACGGTACCTAGAGCCATCAAAATTTCAATAACGTAATCTTCCATAGACTATGAGCATGTGGAAGCCCTAATTTGAATTTGAAATTTCTTTTATTATTGATTTCACATTTTTTAACACTTCAGCGAATATTTGATTAAAAAACTAAACGATTTCAAAGCGAGAAATGGCAACACTGTACGAAACAAAAACATTTTTATCTCCAGCGCGCGAGATATCGGAAATTCTAAAGATATGCTCATTTTAAAATTATTTTGCGATATTGCAGTTGAACTGAATTTTATGGTCTGAGTACGTAGAACATGATATTTAATAAATAAAGGTAGCACACAAAACGTTAAAAGAACCCCCTTTTGGACGTAATTAAACATTTAAACTTACTTCTGAAACCGTAATGAGGGATTCGTACTCTAAGAATGGTGATTTCTGATTAGTAGCGTTGGTGATGATGATGCTGGATTCCACTTCAGTTGTCTGTATTGGAGAGAAAAAAAATAACTTAAATAATTGAATAGGAAAGGAATGAAACATGCATTGAAATTTACATACATATATTCACTATACACTGTCTACAAATATTTTGCTTAAACATTCTGGCCTTGAATTCGACGTTTTCCTTAAACATTTTTATTCAAATTCTTCCTTTTCCGTAACTGTGGCAATATAATTTTTCAGAAACATTTTACGCGCAACACGTACTTAATTGTCTTATACGTGAAGTGAATATAGGAGAAAGTATACGGTAATAGTTCTTTTTATCCGTTTTCATTTAATAATGTTTATAATTTATTATTGCTTCGAGGTGATAGACAGACTGTAAATTGAATTTTCAGAAAAGCTCTTTTTTTAATTAATGTAACTCTTGATAATATGGTTTTAATTAAAGAAAACATTTTAAAACGGAATATTAATCCTATAAATAACCGATAGATGCAAAGAAACTTATTTCGAAGAAAATCTAGTAATTTTGATTGGTACATGCTTCGAGAAATAAAAATATACATATTTATGCTAAATATATATTTCGTATGTATCTATTACAAAAGCGAATAATAATATGTTACCTGTGTTCCATCTGTGACATAAATTGTGAGCTTGTATTCTTTTTCCTACAAAACAAAAGACAAATATTTTAAATATAAAAGTATTTGGCCGCGATATATAATGAATATCTTATATCAAGCTTATTGAAATAAAGAGGAATTTAGTTATGCAACAAGATATTGGCTAATTTGGCTTTTATTGAAAGTAATAAAATAACTGCTTTATTTTTAAGTCATGTAATCATCTAGAAAAATATATGGAATGCTGGCACTAGACTCGCCTTCAAGTGAAACAGAGATTGGAAATCGTTCGAGTTCGCTTTCATTCGGAGTGTTAGCCGTACGGAGCTTAGATGCCAACTCGTTGGAAGATATTAGAGCTACAACAATGATATAAGTTCTACTAAATTTATGATATATACGTGGGAGTAAATTCATCGACTCCATTTACTTCTACTTCAATTTAGCAGAACCATGACGTAGCGCAGCTTGCAACCATGACGGTCCGCAGATCCTCCACGACGCTTGTCTATTGCCTATAGTTAGCCATATAATAGGGCAGATGGGCCCTTGAATGTATTTATTGAGGACTGAGTGTTACTCATAGCTACATGATTCCTGTAGAACTGTTGGAATTACTTTTATTACGAGATTACCAGCTGAACTATTAACTCTTACGTTTTATCTTTTATTTCATTTATTTAATATTAGTAAAAATAAAGCAGTAATTATGCTTAAAATCGTGCTCTACCATGATTTTTGAAAGTAAACCCTACACATAGCATGAAAGCAAGTTAATGATGATAGAACATGAAAAGATTCATGCATACGTCTCAATCTGAACAATCAAGAAGAGACTAAATTGTAAGAGCGTTACAGAACATACCTAAATTGCAGATATTGCTTATCTAGAAGGACATATGATCTAAACATGTGGGTTGTTGATAAAGAAATAATCAAATTGAAAATACGCATATAAATACAGAATAGAGAGTTGAACATGGAACTGCTACAAGCAGTAAATGCGGTTAATTCATGTATTAAAAATTATGTGATCAGTAATGATTATAGAATTATAAAAATGTTTGTATGATGATCATGTAATTATAAAATAATTATGGGATCTAACTGTGGGTGCAGATTTGAGGAAGACATTGGCTCGGGTTTCTGTGACGGATCGGATGTCAAGCAGTTGATTTCCGACGTCACCACGGACTCCGAAAGTCAGGACATCGTTATCGGGATCAGATCCTCTTAGGCGATAGATGACTGAACCTAGGAAAAAAATAGTACTGATAAATAGTATTTTCCGTATCCAAATAGGTAACAATCACTAATGATAAAGTATAACTAAAATTCAAAAAAAGAAATATTATTTTAAGACTGGAGATTTATTTTGAAGCATAATCATAAGTGATTCGCATTTCCCCCTTCTCACTCCTCAGTAAAGTAAATTTCAGATCAGTCGCATTTAGAAAGACTTCCGCGAAATCATTCCTTCTCATGAAACCCGCCAGTTGAGTACCCCATATTCAATTTTGAGCGAATATTATGTTTGTATGTGGTTTTCATTACTTTTAATATTTGTTATATACCAACGAGCAGATTTTCCTTAGTAAGTCCTACTGCTCTGGTATGATCAACTAATTAATTAGCTTCTAATTGTTGTAGTTTGCTTGTGGTTAGCTAACCATTTTTGTAAGCCTGTGTGCTCTTTCATTTACTTTCCTTCAATCATGCTTCCTATATTCGTTTATAGAAAATAATAGCAATAAAACATTTAACAGAACGAAAATATGATTAAAAATGGAAATCCTGTGTTCGTTTATAGAAAACAAATTACAATAAAACATTTGACATAACGAAAAATATGTCTAAAAATGTAATTCAGATTTCTCTTGTAACCCGGTATATGAACTACTATAGATCTTTGTACACGACAAAATTTTCGTAAAGATAAATTATAAGGACTGTTAAGTTTTACTAAACGAGAGACGTCAGGAAACACCTGAAAACGAAAGAAAACAAAATCTGCTTCATCGGAAATCGAATATTGATTTTCCAGTGATAGCTCAACGTTCTAATCACTTACATTACAAACGATAGCAGAGAGAAATGCGATAATTCCTTGCAGAATTACTTTTATTCTGTTACCGTATGAATATTTGCATAGGATAAGGCCACTATAATGATTGTGTAAAAATACGATAAGTTATTTTGTAAGGAAGTTTACCCCCTACATTCGATGCCTTCATCGTGCAAATGGAAGCAGCAGGTTCAATTATAGTTCGACCATCTCAAGCGCAACTCTGGTTGGCATTCTGCCAAAACACATAAACTCGTCCAAAAGGGGCGGTATTACTTGCTTGCGACGTGAAAGGTCTCTTCTCCGGAAAGAGCTATGCTGGAGGGAAAGAAAGTCCCCATCCTTCCACCCTATTTTGAGAATAATTCGGTTCGAATGGCACATGCGTGTTTGCGCTCATGGTCGCGGATGAGGCGGCCGAACTATAGTATCGAAATGTCCGAAGTTCGAATCCCGGTGAGGTGATCTCTGATTTTTGATATTGTGGCACCTAATCGCTCTAGAGTCTATCTTGAACAAAAGCCACGGTAAAATTTTCTGAAACATTTTTCACGTTCATGTTTTTCAAAGATATGAGTGAAAGTTTCAACTTCATCATTATTTCAGTGTGTTAATCAATTAATTCTAGCAGAACATCTTATGATCTCTTTCTAGTCAAGGGCCCTTTCTATGTGTGATATATATATGTGCCATTACAACTTAGAAATACTTTGGCAGAAGCATCCCATGCCAGGCACGTAATCCATTTAACCGCGATAAACAAACGAAAGTTTCATAAGTTAATAAAATAAAGAAGACTTACCAATTTTTGTGTCCATTGGTAATTTGAGAATCCTCATATTATGGGAGAGGTCAATGGTTGGGGCAACTCCTGCAAATACAATGTTTGTTTTAAAAAGCATAAACTGTAGTCAAATTTACATATGCAGCACCAGTTCTTGGATACTATACAGCTTCAAAGAAAAAATACTTCTTCCTTTATTTCAGGAATTTCAATTCAATTGAAGTGCAGTATCATTCAAAATACATCGATTCAATTAACATTGGATATGAAATTACAATATGCCTGCAATTACCTGAATTTCTCATATCGAGTTTTGAAAGGTATTTAGGACAATTTTGCACATTTCCTTGTTTAGAATCAAACTGTTTACTGCATGCATAACTTCCCTTTTTTACACCATAGAAAGAACTAATCCAATTTTTTGTAGGTTTTTTGGAATTCCTAATGCAATTTACGAGTTTGGACAATGTTAACTGATTTATTCGCAATCTTGAATCTCAAAACAATTCTAGATTTTTAAAGTGAGAAGATTTATTTGACTATTATAAAAAGCTCCACAATTTTAAGTCGTGAGCAAATTTTTAAATCAAAAAGAAGGTTAAATGCATTGAATGTAGTTTTAACCATTTGATGGTTCAGAAGACCTGGAAAGAAATGTGACGTCAAATACCTCCTTGCTAAGATGGTTTTCAGACAATGTCAGATATTTTTAAGAATTTTTAAATAATTTTCATACTTTCTTGTTTTTTTTACTATCCTTCTTCTTTGAAATAAAAAAGAGCAAGTTAAATTTATATAAAATTGTTAAATAACATGTTTTTATTTTTTGTTTCTGTGTCAGTGGGTTACCACTGACACAGAAAATTCTCCCACTGTGAAGCCATTAAAAATTTTTCATTTTGCCATTTAAAATGACATTTCCCTGTTTAATATAACTATAATAGCCTTTTCATTATTCCATTTCATCTTTCTATCGGTTACGAGCAAATAAAAAAAAAATTTTTTTTGCTTTGATTCTACGACAAATTATCCATAAAGCTTCTGCACGTGGTGAATTAGACTTTCTTGATACTTTTAACATTTACGATTGTATTGTGATACGATATAAGAGAGTTAGAAAAGAATGATTGTTTACATTTTACTAAGATTTCTCTTTGGTAATTTTGATTTAAAATCCGCCGTTTTTAGCACGATTTTATTTTTAGTCGCATAGTGTATAACATACTTAATATTTAGTGCAACTTAATATTTTTTATTCAATAATTTTTTTGAATAAAAACAGCTTATTTCTCAGATAAAGGTTGGGAGATAGACAGGGCCGTAATTTGTTCTTTTCTTGTGAATGAGAGCTGAGAAGTCAGCCATTCTTATGGAAGACTTTCGAATAACTGAACTTAATGACAGGAAAGCGAAGTTTCAGACGTGAATTTTTAATTTAACAACCCGATATTTGTTTACTCGTCAAAAAGCAGGAAATATCAAAAGAATGAGAAGAATTTGAGACATGGCACTGCTCAAAAAAAGTTTTGTTTCCAAGATGTTAAATATGAAGTTCTACTGTTAAATGTTAAATAAAAAGCCCAAAAGACAACTTGTCTGATGTTTCTCCCAACCGAGAGTTTCCAGCATTACTAAAGCTAAGAACTTCGGAAAGTTCGGATTTAGTAGTGATGATGCAAATATTTACAGTTTAATCAAACTCTGGAAATGCCTTTACAGTAAATCAAATCTTTTATTTAATAATCCATTTTTACTTCCTTGTACGAAGTAAAAAGGAAGTATTGTAATCGCGAAAAGTTTCAGGCAGCATATTTCAACGAAAATATCCATTTTGACCGCTATTCGAATGCAATTTAACGATGTTTTTTCGTGATATCTGTACGCAAGGACAGAATAAAATACTCTTTTCCTTCAAAAAAATTATAAAACTGCTTTAAAATAAATTCTGAAGAGAATTTTTCGTGGCATCTGTACGAACGTATGTACGTACGTGCGTGCGTACGTACGTATCTCGCATAACTCAAAAACGAGTAGCCTCAGAACGTTGAAATTTTGTATATAGGACTGCTATAACATGTAGCACCTCGTATTTTGGTTGCAATCGGCCGTACCAAACGTATATAAATATATTTATATATATATATATCTACTCTATTACCCGGCTCAGTAATCTCAGTTTCTTTACTCTTATATGTTTGTAAATTGTACATGTTATGCTTTAAAAATGATTGAATTATGTTGTTTTTATCTTTCGGTTAAAGATATTATGCCTTTAGTAAATCTGTGTGCAATATTTTTAGAATTATCAGCAATTTTAAAGTTGTTTAATTGCCTCTAAGCCTGTTTTTAATGCCGGCCATTGATGTTTACATTTGAAACAGGAGACTAGTGGATTTGTTGCCAATCTAGAGAAACTTAGCTTCGCAACAACAAAGATAAGGCATTCATTTATTATTGCCAATTAAATCATGCTTAATTCTTTCTAGAATTTTTTCGAGGAAATAAGCGTTTGAGATTTACTTCGTAATTTTTAATATAGATATTGAGTTTTTATGTATTTTTGCCTTCTTACGAAGTGAGAACTGAATTAATTAAATGAGAAATACTCAATCGTCTGTGAAAAACTGTTTCTTGTTTGTTTTGTTTGCTTAATTTCTTTTATACATAGTTCTAGCTTTATTACAGTATTTGAATAGAACATGTGGCAACGATTCGATAATTCTTTAAATGATATACATTTTGTGCATTCTGAGTTAAAATATGAATGAAATATAATACTGTTAAGTAAACCTAGCGCCAGAGTGTCGCTATGGTAAACAAAGTGAATTTTAAAGAATGCATTTATTCTATTGTGGTTTATGCGCTGTCGGCGAAGTAGGTTTAATTCAATCTAATAAGTTTAAATAAAATGCAAGAAAAAATGCGTATAATTTAATATTCCGTACAAGGAATTCATGTGGTGTACATATCAGATTTTTTTATCTTCATCATATTTTACCTACGCATAGATTTTCTTCAGTGAGCAGCACTTTTTAAATAAAGGACTGCTCGGCTTCTGAAGTTCTTGACGACAAACAGCAAAGGATGGCCTTTATGTAATTTCGGAAAACCACAACCTCTCTTTTTCCAGTCCTCCTGGATCGACCAGAAATTTGAGTAATTCAAATTTTAGACTTCCACTTTGTATTTTGGAATAGTATTTACTTTCCAGCACTCGTTTTCGGAAATTCAAACGGAAGTAGCATACAAATTTATTAATTCGTAAAATAATTTAGTAATTAACCATGCAGTAGATCGTTTAAAAGCAGTTTTAAAATTATGATTAAAGTCAGAAGGGTTAAAAAACAATAGGAATGGAAAATTCATCTATTATTTAGAAATTAAAACATAATATGAAAAATAGGAAATTTTTAGATTTACGGAAAAATCTAATATTTGCGAAATTATAGAAACTCTTTAAGAATCCGCCGCGAAAATTATTGCAGAAATTTATGAAGCGATACTGGCGTAATGATATAGTATTTTGATAGCTAATATTGTAGTAAACAGTCTTCGCAGAATACGTTAAAATTTCATAACGAATGCTTCGCTGTAGAACAACATAATCACAATGATAGTAATTCATAACTATAAGCAATAATGTAGAATTTCGGATAATCGGCGTTTTATTACATTAAAAGAAAACAAAAAATAGTAAAAAAGAAAAAAAATTACCTGCAGCCGTTGTGAACAAAGCCATGAGGAGAATTGAAAAGCTCAGGATCATATTCAGGCCACGCGCCTACGTTTCTTCATTTCTTCGGCTTCTTCCTCAGCTCTCGCTTCTTGCATCTGAAAAATGAAAATTTATTATATAAATCATTTCCTATATTCCATATTGTCAAATAATATAGAAAAGAAGGAAAATGTAAAAAATAATTTCGTTAGAATATGCAGCATATAGCATTATAAATACTTTCATTAATTAAAATAATGCTTCAAATGTTCAAAACAATCATCAGCTAAATATAACGCATATTAAATATATATTAGAAATAGCAGCTCTACAGGTTATTAAAAAAAATTTAATTATTAGGAAATGCCTTTTTGTTAAACATTTACAGATTTATTAAACTTCAAAGTTAAATGAAGGATATTATGCTCTGCCTAATAGCGTCATAGCATCATGCTGATAAAAGGTTGTTTGCGAGGCTGCGTTGAAGGGTAGTCGATGGAATCACATGGGGAGCGAGGAACAAACCAAAAGCAAATATAAGCCACGTGAATGAAAAATATAGCGTTGCACTGCTTTCCGGAAGAATCCTTTATCGATGTTTCTGATGTCAAAAAAATATATTAGTTTTTAATTCAAAGTGCATTGAAATTAGTATTGTCATTTAGGTATAGACTTTAGGTATAGACTGTTGTACCATTTAAAAATTGAAAATTGGTCTGGCATTTAAAAATGAAAAATGTACTGAAAAACCTAAATCCGATTATTACCCAAACTATGGAATTCTATCGTGGGAGCTTCGGATGAAGAGTGAAATTAATATTGACTTTAAGTCGCTTTTTAATCTAAATTTCTTAGAAGTTTCAGTAATTTTCCTACTTAGCTGTCTCTTGTATGACTTATCTTCCACTGATCTCCAGTTGAAAGTTTGGAAAAACCTTTTTAAATTCCCCCACTATTGTTAAATCTCATGCAATCAAGCTCCTGAAACATAGCCCTATAATACTCACTGTTACTGTCAGAATTAACACCACCACTGTTAATGTTAGTAGTAACTTGGATGATGCAGTAACTTAGCAGTAAGATGGTCCGAACTCAAACGAAACTGCAGTAAGAAGTAAACTGCGTATGTGGCTCTAATTTTTACGTTGAGTTTTTTTCATTTATTAACGTTTTACACAGCAGCTTTATTTTCCTGATAATAATCTTAGGTTATTATGTCCACATTTTTGTGACATATTTATTTGTTACGCTATAATTTTACCACTATCGTATAGCCCTGTGATACATCCCTGATTCATTTTAATACCAACTCGGAAGTAAAGATATTCTTTCTTTCGTACTGAATGAATATTCCTTTATCATGTAATAAGACTTACAGTTATTTATATGTTTTTCATAAGGCTTGTGTTACATATTTTTCATAAGTCTTTACCTCGTTAAGCTAAAAGGAAACTGTCTGCATTGTTTGCGCCAATTCTTATTTCATCACTTTACCACCCAGATTAGAAACTAGGGAAGCGTCGCGTATACTTTCAGCATAATAAATTTGCTAGGTAATTACTTTGTATACCATTTTTTATACTAACTAAAATGTTACATACATGTCTATTTTCTACAAACAAAGAACTGTAATAGATATCGTTTTAACTATATAGCGGAAGTCGTGAATAGGATGCTTCCTCGGCTGATGAGAAAATGAGACGTGGTAAACTATACGCTACAGATTAGAGAAAACATCATTTACTAATGGTATAGAGGCTTGTCATCCCCCTCTTCGCCCTCCCTACAACCCTTGCTGAAGTAATCCAATCTGTCTTTTGTTACTGCTTCCCATGAAAAGTGGCTTAAGTCTTTAAATACTATGGCATTTTTCTCATTGGTTATTTATGACTGAAGTTGCTAATTAGTAAAATTTCAATTTGGATACCCCGTTACAGTACTCTAATTACCCCAATTCTGTTTTTCCTAGCACAAAACCTGATATTTATGAGCTTTTAATTATTTCATGGGCTTAAATAATACGAAAGAACATTTGAGTCACAGTATTCTGTACAATATGTTTTCTTAACGAAGCTCCTTAATTAATTTAGACTTTCGTAAATGCATTTCTATGCTAAGAATCAACATTAAAAATTCTCTTTTAGAATTTAATCACTTTTTTAATTGATGTTACTGGAAAATATAACCAATCAATCATAAAATCGATACGAAAATCATTTAACATCCATTAAGATCTGATCGCTCAATCAGATCTTCTGATCTGCTGATCTACGAGTATCTTCTGATCTGCTCGATCTTTAGATGCATACACTAATCCTATCTCATGTAAAATTTGCAAATGGAGGCCGTTTGCAACAAATTTTGATTGAGATAATGTTGCAAGTAGTCTACATAATGGTCTCTGTGGAACTCAACTGGACAACTGGCACTGGCACTAACAACTGTGGCATCAGCTAGTTTTTTTTTAGTTTGCCCTAAGTAAATAGTTCCAATGACGCATAGATATCTGCCATGCTAACAGAAATTAAATTATCCAGCATTTGCGAAGTGTGTCTAAAAATACATGCAAAGAAAACTAAATGTTTCATAGAGGCCTGAAATCTTTTTTTTTTTTTTTTTTTATTGCTAAGAACTAGAGTGGGATGTCCATAGAATAGCAAAAGGTAATAAATTTTATAAAATTTCGGTTTCGGAAGAAAAAATGATAGACGATAACCATATGTAATTTTCAGACTCAGACCTTCAATTGTAACTTATAAAATTAAAGTCTAGTAGGATTCATTAGGGCAGCCTTCAAGGCCCACTGGTGTAAAGGTTGTTAATGCTATGTTGTAAGGATTATGTTAATTTTATTAGCAGTTAAATTTTGAATTAAACTTCTTTCTTGTCAAATTCTTAACTTCAACTTACTGCTTCCGGCCAGAACGTAGTTTTAGATTCACGTCTGAATACATAATGAGGAGTGGTATATAACCTCGAGTTAGAGAGAATCAGAGTTTCTGATTAGCGCGCGTTCGCCTTTTGGGCTACTCTCTCTAAAAGCTGTTATTACGCTCGGCCGTACTCAGGCCCTTGATAGCTTCGCAGTCAATTAGCGTTAAGGGGCTAACTCGGTTAGAATCTTGATAGCTTCGGTTATATCTCTTTAGTTTAGATTAGTTTTAGTTTACTTCTTAGCCTCTTAATTTCAAGCCCAAGTGTCGGCTTTTAGTGTACACTTCAAGACGGTCTTCTGTTTAACCTTATTTGAATAATAAAGGGTTATTTACCCTTCCATCTTGTTGCTTCTTGTCACACGAACTCAAGCGATTATTCGTTTATCGGTTCTTAATAGCCTTCACTTTCTACAGCAACTTAGAATCACACTGTGAGGAATCCCACAATGTTAAAATCGTATCATCTGGTGGTACTACATACTTATTATTCCAAAGCATTATATTTAAGTGATCAAACATACTCGGGCTCTCTGTCATATATACTCCACCAATAGTCATTATCATATTACATGCCAGGAACGTGTCTTACCATACAAAAGGAGCGTGCCAGCCAGGAATGTGCCTTACTACAAAAAAACATTATAACTTAGAAATGCATTTTATGTTTGCCAATGTACGGTTACAACTATAACTGATGACACGCGCGTCTCTATAAATGCCCTGTTTTGGGCATTGCGAGGCATTGTGGAATGTCATAATTTACACCTGTTATTTTGTGAGCATATTTGCTTGGTTTTCTCTGAAATTTCTGCGGGGACTGTAGTCGGGTAGCTTACTTATTCCGATAGCTTACTTTGTGCGTGAGTTTTCTTTCTATTTCAATACAGCAAACATTGCCATCTGTTGCATGGTTTATTCAGGTGAATTTTAAAAATGATTTCCTGATTTATAACGTACAGTAAACTTTATGTAAATTCTTTCTTGGTGTTAAAATATGTTACACTGCAGCCGATGCAATGCATTATACTGTAAATTATAGTTTTTTAATATTATCAATAAAAGAATTTAATTCCTGTATGTTCAAACCGAAAAATGTTATCCAATTTGTTAACTCAAATAAAAAAATAATTATTTTTATTTAACTTTTCCACATTATTAATAACTGCATGCATCATGTTTAACTATATGGCTCATATATACAAAAATTAATATCAACATTTTTATTTAGTTGAAATGCATTGAATGGTTAGGGAAATAACAAAAGAAGTCATTACTTATAATTTTCTCCAAATAAAAGAGCTTTTGGTATTTTTTCTTTAAATAATATTATAATTTTAATTGTATATTTCTTCTTGGAACGATTTCAATAAATAAAAAATCTGATATGAACACCACATCTCTTCTTTGTACAGCCTATTAAATTATATACACCTTTTGCTGCACTTCATTTAAATTTATTTCTTCAAATTTCATTAGAGATATATTTCTCACTCAATCAAGAAATCAATTGATCAGTCATTCAATTCTTAGTTCGGACATCCCAAAAATGCATAAAAACTCAAATCATCTTCATTAAAAAGTATAAAATGCATAAAAACGTAAAACACCAAATTTAGTTTAATTTTTTTTTCTTTGCACTTAAAATTAGAGTTTCTAGGCAAGAACAAACTTTTCGGTCAGCGGGCAGAAAGACAGAATTCTCAGTTCACAAACATTTAAACTTCTAGCCGCATTGTGCAAAGACACACTGAAGTTGGTGCAACAACTGACTTAATTTACTATACTACTAAGAGCTTCAAACGTAAACAAACAGCCACCTAGCGACGCTTAAACTTTTAAATTGTTCACAATTCTACAATACATAGAAGCAATAGCGAAAAACATTAAAGACATGAAAACCTTAACCGGCGGCCAGTTGCAACGGAAAAGGAAAAGTGCACAACTAGATGTTATCGCAATCCCATACACAGAATTTCAACGTTCTACGGTTATTCGCTTTTGAGTTACGCGAGATACGTACGTACATCACGAAAAAATCTCCCGTGAATCCATTTTCTTCGTACAAAAACATATCCAGATGATATTTAAGAAGACTCATTTAGAAGACGTGTCCAGATGATATTTAAGAAAATACATTTAAAAGACTAAATCGAGACTAAATCGTCCCAAAGGTCTATTTA